ATAACGCTCTCTCTCTCCACTCGCCGCGTATAGACCTGTGGCGAGTGATTAGACAGACGGTGGGCGGAGACAGGCGGACCCACCAAGATTGAGCCCTTCTAGCTCTCCGAGGTCAAATCTGCCGCTGCCGGTTGCGTGCCTGTCCGCACCCTCAGGATGTTCGCCGGTCTCCCCACTAGGCAATTTCTCCCTAACTCAACCTTCGTCTTTTCCGTGGAGTCCTCCTTTAAGAGGGAAGATGTTGCCTTGCTGTACCTGAATCTCAACGGCTAAATGAATAATGAAAATCATGCAAACGTTAGCTGACAATGAGAACACAATATGAAGGACAGGATTAGAATGGAGGACAATGTGCGAGCACATCGAGCAGCTCAGGTGGAAAACTCTAAGAACGCTAGGATCTTCGGCCATTGGTTGAGCTTGTCCGCTTCCTCTACTCAAGTTCTATGATACACGTGTGGCATGCATTCAGTAGAGCTATTGTTGCGTTGCGCACCTCCAGGCGCCACTAACGCCCTGCAATTGTCAATCGAGATGTTCGTTGGATGGAACGCTCCTTCACAAGAACTCTCAGACAAAATAACAGGCCGCTACGGGAGCACGCAGCAGAGCATGCTTTGCAGTCTGCAGTAATCATAAATCAAATCAAGAACCAGCTCCTCTCTTCTGGCGGTCCGCTATTAGTTGGGGTAGCTTCATTCGTCAACCGCTTTTGGGGTAGCTTCATTCGTCAACCGCTTAAGTCACTGTTTTTGGAGAGTTATGCAGAAGCAACTGTGAAAAGAGACCTCATTGCTAGGAATCCGAGAGGGCCTCGTAGGTGCAGCCTTGACTTCGCAGCCCAGGATGCCGATACGGATTCCCAAAGTGAATATTTGATGATGCACCTCAGAAGTACAGCGTCAATGTTAAGGTGAAAAACAGTGTCTGGTCTGTTTGTAACAGCGTGCCGGTTGAGATTTGCGGGGAGGGCTTGAACTGAATTGGGAACCATAGTATTGATTGGCTGCTATAGTGAAAGAGGAAATTCATTGAGTGACATGCTACCGATCGATGTTGATATTGATAATATCGATTCTTGCGCAGAAGTCTCGAATAGGGTTGGGAACTAAAGGTATTAACGATTGCCCGATTCTACTTCTTTTCGGGAGTAACCCCATCAGGAATCGATGTCCGTTATATAGACGTGGAAAAGTGCCAAGAAAACCTAGTGACGTGAGTGAACAGTGCATGCCACATTCGGAATAACGTACTCAAGAAGCACATAGAGGGCTCTATCGCTCCAAGACCGATGGAGGGGGCGCGGTGCAAATGTATATGCAGTGATGTGTGTTTAGTAGATAGAACGAACATCAAGTGAAAGAAGTGGTACGAGTAATGTTCAAAGTTCAAAGTGTTCAATGTTCAAAGTAAGCAGATGAGAGAATGCCCGGTGCAGCCGAACGATACGAGCTGTGTCCTCAATAAGTCATCTTTGAGTTCGAGGAAAAAAATGCGAACATGCGGCAGCAAAGGCTAGGGAGGTTTGGGTATCCCTACAAGACGTCCAAACTTGACCATTGACATACGAAATTCAGCGACACGAATCGAACATTTGCGACTGACCAGGGAAGGATGATGTGTCGAAGTGGCCATATGCAATGAGACGTTCACTGTTAGATGCGCTCTGGACGCTGCTATCCAATCTGCTTTCCGAATCTGCCAAACAATTTTGCGAACGGAAATATATCCCTACTATGTATATATAATTCGCCAAGCATGTCTGCGTGTATATGTGTGTGTGTGCGTCTGTTTGTCACGAAATTCATAGCGCGCTTCGCTGTAGCC